GAGCCTCAGGACAGTGTGGGAAGCCGCCCTGTTTGCACTGTGGTGGACCTTCCCTTTAATGTGAAACTTTGGCACATTCCAAAAGCCACATTCTGAATCCCACCCTCTGAGCCCTACATTTTAAAGGTGTTTATGGCTGGAAAAGTGACTATAAAATTGGCACATTGGTTTTCAACAGACTTGTTGTCTTTGGTAAAGGAAGGACCAGAGCTTGCTGGCTTTATATACAGTCACATGCGCTCACTACTAGTCCTATTGCTACAGTGGGATTGTTTGTGTGGGTAAAGTAAGTAAGATTTGACCTGTCATCTGCTGTCTTAAGAGTCTGCCTAAAGAAAGGGTGCCCAACTTCCCCTGAATGCCAGGAGGATTTGGGTTTTAATTCCCTTAGGCTTCCTTGCAGACTCCAACCTGAATGGCCAAACGAGTCTTTTTATTCCTTTCAGCCTTTGAAAAACCCACACAGGTGGGGGAGAGCGAGCTGTATTCAGAGGTCTTGTATGTCTTTAGTGCAGTAGGCAGCTAACATTGGTCTGCACTTATGGTGCAAGATGCAGAAATTTCAGATCCCAGGTGGAGTGCACAGTCCTGGCAATGAAGTATTTTGACTCCCTAAATGGAGCCGACATCTCATTGGGAAGGAATAGGAAAAATAAGCATTATTTTTAGACACTTTTCAGATTCCAAATGCACTTTAAATAGGCCAGATTTTTTTCCAAATTGCAGACTGAAAGCAGCATAAAGCTAATCTAATCTGAACACTTTTTGTTCAGATTTCTTTTCCTGCCCCAGCTAAATGCCCTCAAGTCTTAAACTAATGGCAGGCAAAGAGTAGCCCTCTAGCAACTTGACATTCCACAGCTTGTTACTTTTCTAGTAGCCCTGCCAATCCCTGTAGTTGCCTAATGATGCCTGTATATAAAACATATATGCAAAAATCCACCAAATACAAATGAATCTTTTTTTTCCAGCAAAGCCAACCAAGAATAAGGAAGTTAACTTTTTTTTAAGAGTACAATTTCAGTCATTCTGCAGCAACCATCTGTCTTTTGACATGACTGCAAAATGCAGTTACAATAAAAATATGTGTTTATGTATATAATGTATAAAACTTTAAAAAAAGAAAGTAAACATTCTTTGAATCTATTATGTATTTAAGATGGGGTTTTAAATCTGGGGTGCAGATTACTATAGGTAGCCAAACATAAGTAAAAAATTTACTATGCCAAACTTTTATGGTCCGTTAATCTGTTGGCTGAGAATTACAAATTAACAGTGATGTCACCTTCTTTTTGCATTTACAGTAAGAAATGTAACCTTATTAAAAACAAGGTGTAATGGACACAGCTGTAGCCATAGAGTCCTCCCCTCCATTTATATTTCCAAAATGTGTGAATATGACTGACTGTCAGTGAAATTTAACTGAATTCATCAGCATGCCTGCCATAGCTGACAAGCAGTGCAGGATGTGGTACCTGGATTTAATTACTGTAATCTGTGACTGCTAGCCAAGTGATACAAAGCCCATAGCAGTGACCTACACTGGAAGCCACTCCTAAAATCAGTAGCTTTTTCTACAGGTTTCATCTTGCAGAAAAATTAGAATCTGACCTGATATCTCCATTGGTGGAGTCAGCACTTCCAGTGGCAGTTGAATGCCAATATAAGTACCGGCGGGGAGTTGGAATGGGGTTTTGACCATAATGTATTCACACAGTAAAATTCTATTTAAATCTGTAACACTGGTTTTCTACCTTCTTCCTGCCTAGCAATTCCCTGCTCTGTGTCCTGAGTTTGTTTTACATGCATCACAGTACTGGAGTTGGCTAGATGCATAGTAGGCCCAATTTCCATTCTTATGGGCACAGGCTTCTTGTTGCCTTGCTAACATTAGCTTTTAGATTCTTTGATGTGAAGACAGTTGGGAGTGTTTTGTACCTATAAATATATTGTCCAAGAAATCACACTATGTAGAGGGAAAATGTTCCTTTTAAACTATATCTACTAAACTGTTGAGGAAAAAAATACAACCTCTGTGTGCACGGTCTGTTTGTCTATACCTTCTGGGTGTCTTTGGCCAACCTTTTATTACATACTAAGCTATATATGCTATTTCTGCTTCTCATGGGAACCACCCTCTCTTGCTAGAGGTGTGCCCTTGTTCTAAATTCTGTATTATATGGAACAGATTTCCCCCTTTTTAATTCTCCTCCCTTGTTTAACCTATGTTGTCTACTTATCTGCTACTGGGAGCAATCTATTTGCCTTTTGTGTAGCTCTAATAAAAGCTGGATCAGTCTGCAACATAGACTGGTGCTTTGGAAGCTTACTTTTATGACTGGTGCACTCATCTTCTCACAGCTCTGTTCCATCCCTTCCCTCACCCCATTTTTCTCAATTGATCTTCCATCAGCAAATTTCCTGCTGCCCTAAAAGTCCTGTAGAAATGTAAATGGAATCCTCGTTTCAAGATTTTTATGCAGACTTATGATTGCTGCACACTGTACACTTTTTTTTTTTAAAGGAGTTGCTCATTAATATTTCTGCTCTGCTTCCACCTTGATAGATTGAGGTATAACACCTTTCAGAGTCCAGCATTCTTATGATCAGGGACTAGTGTTGAAGGACTTCTGCAGTATTTCACTGGAAAGAGTCTGATTAGTTATCTAGTGAACTAACTTCAATTTTATTAGGTGCTACCTTGGGCTACAGAATGGAAACTTTTAACAAATTCTGTCCAGGCAGAATTTGAAATAAGATAGTTTGGTGTTCCAGCTGACCAAAATGATTGAGGGTGATGCTGTCTGTAAGCAGATATTCCAAGCTAAAACCAAAGTGCAGCATCAATTCTGTGATTATAAGGACAAAATATAAATATAATGGGCCAGGCAATTGGTAAACGATATAAGAACACATGTTTTAACATTCTAAGTGGGGGCCGAGGGGGATCCGAAAAAAGGGTCGGCTGGGTTGTGGCCACAAACCCGGCACGTACAGATGGGTACTTTCGACCGCTGGAGTAGAATTAGGCACAAACGTGTACTGGTTCAAACAAAGATGGCTTTACTTACACTGTCGAGATGTACAGCGTAGGAAGAAAGTTAACTTCAAACTTCAGTTACAGTTTAACCGAGGAACTCTAATTCGACGAGATATCTTTGATACGAGCATGCAGAACACAGGGGTGCGACGGGGAGTCATCAGCGGTTGATCAGTCCGCCACGTTCACTCCGAGATGGGTGCGGAGTTCTCCAACTTGGGCGGAGTCTGCTCCAACCTTTTATACGGCTAGCGAGGCCATTGCTAGGTGCCACGTAAGGAGAATTTAGAACCGGCCAATAGTAATGTGTGAATTTGCATGTGAGTGGCGGGAACCTTTCCACGCCGGGGTTCTCCACCGTGCCGAGAGATTCCCTCGTACAAAATCTCACCGTGCCTTGTGCAAGAAAGTTCCACTGTGCTGAGGCACTCCACCACTAAGCTCTGCTCTGACACTAAGCAAAAGTTCTTTGGGTGCTGGATAAGGATCTGGCTCTGTATTTAAAGTAGAGATAGACTGGGGAGGGGAATGTTTGGATTTGAATCAGATAAATGTCTGATGCTGAACTAGGCTTCTGACTGGTGTGCCACTGAAACCTGGCCAACTCCTCTCAGAACAATTTTCTGGCCCCTTCCACTTTTTTCTATTCAACCCCAGTCCCGAATCAGAGGGGTGGACTAAAATCTTCAAATTGAAGTCCAACTCAGCATCTCTCAAAGCTCATGGACATGATTTCCCTCACTTGAAACTTTGGCTGGACTCTTCCATCATGTGTAGCTTAAAGTTGTTGGGGGAGGCAAACTGTGATTCTGAGTGATAACATCTGACAGGTTAACCCTTGGCTGAAGTGGTCTTGTCTCCTTGGAAGAGAAGGAAAGATAAGTTTTTTGGGTTTTTCTAAAGAAATCTGTACTGAATCCTTTTTTATTCTACCTCTATGACAAAAAGCAAAGGATGCTGTACTGCAGCCTATAGCACAGGGGGGGACAGTACATGGCCTACGGGCCAGATCCAGTCTGCTAATTGATCGTATTGTTTGTGGCTTCAGCCACCCAGGTACTGCTCCATTCCCCCTGCCTGCCGCTGCTCTGCTCTGTGCACCAGGTAGTGCAGGGAAGCCATGTTGGTGGCGGTGGGGACACATGCTGGGCACTGGATGCTCAGCTGCGTGGGGAGGGGAGAAGCTGCAGCCTGTGCCAGTGCATGGGGCTCCAGCTCCCAAGCAGGTGGAAGGCAGATGGGAGCAGCCAGCTGGTTTATGTCTAATTTCTGTGCCTAGCCTAAGTGGCCTGCTGCCTAAAATAACCACCCACCCCTGCCCTAGCCTGAGCTGTTTGCAGGCAGCTGAGGAAGGTCTCTGCTGTAGCGTGTTTCACCGTGGGTCAGCACAGGCCTGATGCTGTGTTATCTGCTCAGTTTATCTACCAGCAGTTGCCAACTCTGAATCTTTTCCGGAAGGTTTCATTACACGACATAATGACATTAATGACTTTACATCAGGAAAGCAAATGCACATTACTATTATATTTTAAAAACCCACTGGACTATTCTGTAAATTGGATTCAACACTTAATGTTTATTTTAATGAATGCCCTATTATTTATCTCCTGGGTGAGTTTTAGCAGTCTCCTGGATATTTATATCTAACTCGGGGAGACTCCAGGGCAATCCTGGAGCGTTGGCATCCCTATCTACCCGTCATATTAAAAAAAAAAAAGACCCTAGCGAAAACAAACACGAGGGAAGACTGTTTTCGTGTATGTGGATCACTTGTGCAGGCTCCAGCGCTGCTCTGGAGCA